GCTGGACTATGAATACGCGCCATTGGTATTACATCGACATTTTTGATACAATTTTGTCAAAATACAGCATTACGACAAATTATGTCGCAATACCGTTTGTCGATAAACATATAGTCACGCCACGTTATTGTCATGAAGAAGGTGAAACAAACTTCCAACATTAGTTTATCCGATAAATGAGTTTTAAAGTCATATGCAAATGTTAGATTCTGGAAAATATTTTACAAAAATGCAAAAATAAGAACAAAAATTAATTTTTGAAGAGCCTGAAAGCAGTTTCGTATTCACGTCAGTAAACCAATTCAAAATATTAACTCTTTTTCTTAATATTTTAATATGTTTTCGAAATTTGCATCAATTCGATACAAACGATGGATGCCGGTTAAAAAAATAGGGGAAACTTTCCATTATGGCCGTTCGTTAAAGGTGCGGTGGGCGAAGCGGGAGTGGGCGTGGCACCTCCAACCGACTTTTTGGAGAGGGCATGAACCGCCATTGACAAAAATGCCATCCCCGACCACCTAGGCCCCCTATGGTTCCCTACGGACCCCTTTAGAAAAATGGCCAAAAATCGCAATTTTTACTTGCGTCCACAGTATTTTTGCGTAGAATTCCTTTCTGCGTAGGTGGCCTTCGGCCGCGCTTAGGGATTATAACCCTTACTACGTAGAATTCTCCTTTCTGTGACCTAACTGGGGCTACCGCACCAGTGATGTAACCTTGGGAAAGGATGAGGTAACTAGAATTCCCTTTCTGTGTGGTAAACCTGTGGCTGCCGCCCCAGTGATGTCTAAATGTATTGTGCAAATGAATGTTGAACATTTTTCAAGCGAATAAACGCAAATGAAAATTGTGATTTTTGGCAATTTTTCTAAGGGATCCCTAGGGAACCATAGGGGACCTAGGTGGTCGGGGGGTAGCATTTTTGTCAATGGCGGTTCATTCCCTCTCCAAAAAGGTAGGTTAGAGGTGCCACGCCCACTTACCTTTCGCCCACCGCCCCTTTAACGAACGGCCATAAAGGAAAGCCAACCCAAAAAATATATAAAAACTACCTGCCATGTACACTTTGTTTGGAAATTATCCATATACATACATATTGTTACGATTATCCTTGAACCCTCGTCCGGATTTCCCAAATCTCCCGGTTCGTATCGCTGGATTGTTAATAAAAGGCTAACGATGACCAAATGGTAGTACAATTAACTTTATTGTACAACAAACAATTTTACAATACTTGCTAATACAGTAAAAACACTACAATACTTGTTAAAGCAATTACAACGCTTTACTACTTGTTAACACAATTAACTTATAGCTTGCTTATTCGCAACTCGCTTCTCTGCTCAGTTTACTTGTAGCTTGCTGACTTGTAACTAACTCACCTCGCGGTGGCGGCGCCCTTATATACCTGCGCTGGCACTTATGGCAACTCTAGAACATTCTGAAGTTTATCGCTCATTCTCTTTCTCTCGCTGTTCGCAGTGTTCATCC